GTGCCCCCGGCAGTCGGGAACACCCCCTTGCACTGCCGATTTTTTATTTTTATTTTTTTAAGAAATAAAGAAAATTTTAAAAAACCGTGGGGGTTGGAAAATTGCATTTCTGGCCGTCAGACCCTTTCGTGGGACCGACGCGGTCAGACGGCTAGAGGAAACCTGCCCACGGGAGAGTGCGCGCCACACACACACACACACAGGAGGGGGGGGGGGGGGGGGGGGGGGGGGCGGCTATGACTGAGCATGGTCCAAGCTTTTTCTTGTCTTGAAAAAAAAAAAAAAAAAAAAACTCAGGGTATCTTGGCAGCCTTTTTTCTTTTTTTTACTTCGCATTATAAAACGCCGGGCAAACGGGCCCGGCTTCCCTCACAGCCTCCCATGAATCCCCCAGCCAAACTGGGCTGGGAAAACCACTCCCGGGCCAAGTCCCACTAGGTGGCGTTGAGTTTCCTCAACGCCTGAATCTGGACGTGTTTGTGGCGAAGTGCGGTTGAGGACACTCAACCGCCATTTCTGCACATCTCCACAAACACGTCCAGATTCAGGCGTTGAGGAAGCTCATCGCTGCTAGTGGGACTTGGCCCCCGGCCAATCCCATCCCCAACTACGGTCCTCCCACAATGAAGGCGCCTGTCTCCCCCCATCTCTCTCTTTTTTTTTTCTTTTTTTTTTTTGCCTCCCCCCATTTCTCATAAACCCCAAGTTGCAAAAAAGATCCATTGCAAAACATTTGTCAAAATTTACCAAAACTTTATCAATCCTATCCAATTTTCACATGCAGCTAATACCACAGCGACTGAGACATGCACCCTCCCCCACGCCTCTCCCTCAGACGCCACGCCCCCCCCGGGGAAGGCCCCCGAAACGGGTCGTACGACTGCCTGGGGGGTCGTACGTACGGACGTACGGCCGTACGTACTCCCCGTATCCATACGGGGCCACTCATAGATCCTATCCAATTTTTACATGCAGCTAATACCACAGCGACTGAGACTACTGACACACAGATTTCTGAGACAACATCCAAGGCAAGTAAGATCAGTACTATGACTCTATGACTCCATGAGGGCAATATATAGTACTACTGTCAGGGTATCAACGACAATGACCAGATATCAGCTACAAAAAATAATCGTCTTTGCAATGTAAGGTGATGCATCTGTCAAAGTGTGAACCCCAAACTATCTAGCAATACCCCCCAAAATCTCCACCCCTACAAAATGAAATCAGAAAAGCACAAGCATAGAGGGGGGGGTAGCAGCAGACAGGCTGACTGTAAACAATCCTGCAAAAAAATTCCTCATCTAAGCTGACACCACTTCATTGATTTTGCTGAAAAAAAGTTAAAAAAGTTTTACAAAAAACTTTTTTTTTTTTTTTTTTTTTTAATTTTATTTGCATCGAGTTCCCGATAGGCCAAAATTGGAACCTTTTTTTTTTTGTTCTTTTTTCTTTTTTTTCCTTTTTGTACAGACACAAGGCTCCATCTATTGGTGGGGACTCCGGAGCTTCACCTGCTGGAAACTGGGTCCAGCGTCCCTTTAACTGTTTAACATCAGGTACTTACCCGAATTTGGTGGAGGAGAATGAATCAGAGACCTGTCAGCATTGATTGCCCTGGAGTCCAGGGGATTGACTGCACAGGTTATGGGATGACTTTTGCCTAATATACCATTCCGGGGCCCTGCTCAAGCAGGCACAGAAGGGGGGTTGGTAGGTGGCAGTTGGAATGATGAGGATGGGGTTCCTCCAGGGGGCGACCGGATGAAGGGGCCCCATCCGCCATTCCCGCTACGCAGCTAACAAACTCCTCTCCTGTCCAGGTTGTGCGGGCCATCTCTATTCCCTACTCCCTACCGTACCAACTTAATTCCATCAATGTGTGATTAGGGAGGGGGAAAGGGTC